AAAATAAAAGGGGGGTGAGTGGGGGTGGGGAGGGGGAGGGAGTGCGCAAAGAAAAGTTGGGTCATGGCAGGGAATGTGTGATCAAAGCCGAGCCCAACCTTCCTGTCACACCGGGACTATATATATGTCGTGTCTTTAATGTTGGGGATGGAAGCGGCTGGCGGGCCTGGCGTTGACTCCCTGCCTGATTCCCAGCGCGCTGAGGGTTCTTCCACCGACCACAATGAACAAGTTCCTGTGCTGCACGCTTGTGGTGAGTCCCTTTGGAGAGGTAGATAGGCTCTCAGACGCATTACTGCTCCGGACATCAGGCTGGAGAGACGGACGGGTTTGCTTCAGGGATTTTTGTTTTGGATTTGGGGTTTTTCTTTTGTTGTTGTTGTTGTTGTTTTGGGGTTGTTTTGCCTTCTCTCAGTTTTCTTGGTAAATCTTTTCATCATGCCAAACTTTTCCTGGTGAGTTTGGAGTGTGATGGACACGTCCAGCTCCAGGGAGGCAGCAGGGATTTTCATCCCGTTCTCAAGGTAGTGGCATGATTTGCTTTTCTTTTGCCTTCTTCTTTTCCTGTCTTCCTCTCTCCTTTTGTAAGGCTTCATCATACTGGGCTGATGCAAAACACCATATCTAGGAATGAATTTAGAAACTGTTGGGCTGGGATGTTTGGTTTACAAAAGCTCCATCCCTGCCCAGCTGTAATCTCTGCTGCAGTGGCACTGTTAGTATCTCAGATCCTGGGCTGGCTTCCTTACCCAGGAAAACCACTGTGCACTCCAGAAAAAAAAAAAAAGGAAAAAGAAAAAGCACAAGAGTGTGGTCCTTGTTTTGGCTTAGAAAATTCAGCTTCATGTGCAACAAAGTGATGAATTAGTAGCTGTGTCAGTAGCTATTACAGAAAAACTTGTGTTATTAAATCTGGTATAAGACCCTGCCTTAATAAGTCTTTGCTTACTTGGTGATTTAGCAAGATACTTCCAGATGCAAATTTAAAGATGTTAGTGCAGTAAATCTTTCAAAATGTTGTTTAATCCATTTACTCTTATGGAATTGTATATGAGTTCAAATTAATTAAGACCTGCATACAGACAGATATTGTGTAACATCTGTTTGGAGGCTATTCATATTTTGCATGAGTGAAACATTAAAGAAAAACATTAAAAAATAATATTCAGAGCAGACTGTTACTCATGCCAGCACTGTAACTTGCTCCTGTGTTGTTTCGGTGAGTACAGCAACATTAATGTTGTGGCAGAGCATCAGAACTGAGATCCATTTATTTTGAAAGCTTTTTATAAATGCAATGAGATTTCCAGGATCCGATGAGTAATGCGTGTTTATTACTCTCTGTACAACGTGCTGAAAGAGCTTTTTGAGAAACAAACCCAAAGTAATTAATGGTGCAAGGGAAGCAAAAATTGTCAGGCTTGTGGTCGGCAGATCGAAACACAGGACAACTTTTTCATCTTATGTGTGATGTTGTGCCTGCTTTGTCAATATGAAGGCATGGGAAGTTAATCTTGGAATTTCACCAATAGCTGGTTATCAGCTTGGCTTATCTGTGGCTGTCATAAAATAATCACATCAGGATTTTGATTTTGATTAAATGTAATGTTCCTGTTCATGTTCTCTCATAAAGTAATAGCATTTGGTGAAGTTCAGCATAATCCCCTGGCCAATGAGTCTCAGGGCTGAAATGCATCAGTGACAGGAGTACAGAAAGCTTCATCATTCAATTATTATTATTATTCTGAAACCATTTGTTTAATGTTATTGTGAAGTCTAAGTACAATCAGTGAAGCTGAGGTACTGTCAAATGTGCTAAAACTCAGAAAAGTAGTTTTAGTACCTGTTTTATAAGAAAAGGTGTGTATGTTTGGCTCACATATGTTAAACCTGGTTTGGAGACACCATAGCTAAAAAGACTTTTGGGGCATGGTGTGCTTTTGGCCTTGGCCTCTTTGGTAAGGTTTCAGAAGGGAAACCTGCTGTGGTGGTGCATGCATGTTTGTGTTGTTTGCTGGAGCACTAAAACTGCTTACAGACAAGTGTTATGAAATCATGAACGGAAAGAAAGCCCCCAGAGCTGAATCTTGTTACTTGTCACGTAACTATCTTGCCCCTTAAACTTGACCTTTCTCTATTTTGGATCTCTGGGCACATGTGACATGCTTTTTCTGGCCTGCCACTTGTGTTTGCTGTGTGTAGGCAGCAGTGGCTTTGCAGCCCGTGAGGGTAGGAGTTATCTTTCTGTCTGACTTTCTTTCTGTCTGTCTGCATGTGTGTTGGTCAAAAATAAAGCATCAAGGTTACCAGAAGAATTTTTACAAGATACTGTCTCAATTTGAGTAACACCCACTGTTCAAATCTCATAGAAAAATTAATCTTTTTCCTTCTGTAAAAACAACTGTTTGCACATAGTACTGGACATACTGGTTCTCCAGGTAGCTGATCAGGTGTTAGTAATTCTGTCCGTGTAAAGGCAGACTATAGTCATGGTGGGAACATCCTAGGTTTGGGTTAGCTCCAAATCTTGCTGTCACTCTGGTGAATAATGTTGCAAAATATGTGTTATGGATAAGACACATCTTTCGGTGCATAGCTTGTTAGTCTTTCCTGCTTTCTTCCTCCACAAGCTTCAAGGCAAATGTAACTCATACAAATGAAGACTTTCAATTTAGGAGGTTTTTTGATAAGACGTAGAACTGCTCTTCAGCAGAATATAATTTTCTTGCCACTGAAAATGAAACAATAGTTTAGACCTCTAAATTGCTTTGCGGATGACAACTAATGATGCCGCACAAAATCTCTATGAGACTTGAGTTTTTGACATACTGCTCTACTGACAGAGAAATGAAGACAGTGGTTCATAGACCCAGTTTTGAAGACAGGTTGTTCAGGAGAATCACCAGTTATATTCCTTATGTAAAAGCGTAGCCTCTACTTAATGAAACATCTTTGAAACAGAAGTAGGTCCAAAGTGAGCGGATTGTATTGAAGCAGTTGTCAGAACGGTGGAACAGCTTTATAAACTGAACTCAAACCACTGAAAATTACTCCATGTCATTTTTTGTTGTGTACCTGGCCCTGAGCTGTGGTCTGCCAAAAGATGCCTTGTCTGGTCAGTGCTGTCAGTGAGCCTGTAGCAACCCACGGGTAAGCAGTGCCCCAGAGCTGCTGGCCCAAAGGGGTTAAATCCAGTGATTTCATGAGCCCCCAGAACAGCAAGGTGAGGAGGATGAGAGCTGAATCTCTCTCAGATGGACCGAAGTAATTTTGCCCAGAATGACAAGTATTTTACAATGCATGGATCTAATCCAGCATGGCTTTGCCACATACTGGATTCAGAGATACTGTTTTGATTTGACAAGCTATTGATGAGGAGGACCTCATTAATACCATTCAGTGCTGTATGTTGCCAGTGGGGTGTCTCAGGGCCTGTGCATGATTTCAGTGAGGCATTCTGCCTAGGGGCTGAGGGTATGTGAAAACCTCCTGCCTTTGCTCTGTCCAAATACTTTGTGTGGAAGGCAAAGTATGAGAATTGTGAGGTTTTACTTTGAACCCAATGCAAACACTGGGAGCAATCTGACAGATGTCTTGAATGATTATTTATCACGTAAGAAAATATGCTTTGGAATAGTTGTGGAATGCAAAACAGAAACAGATTTATCTTTCTCAGCAAATTAAACATTCTCCTTCAGTCTACAACCCAAAACCACAAAGCCAAGCTATATAATAATATTTTCATATGCTGAAAAGCCACTTTCTTTTCTCTCACAAAGCAGTGATTTAAAGGGATGATGCTTGAAGGATTTTTACTTTATGTCCTTTGTCTTCTAGTTCATTATAATTCAATGAGAGAAAGCAAGAGGGTCTTTGCCTTACATTTAAAGATTAAAGCAAAGGGCGTGTCCTTTATTCATGCCCAAGATCTGAAATGAAATTTTACAATCACATTATTTCTCTTTCATAAGATTCTTCTAAGGAGTCAAATAAATGGACTGCAAAGGCCTTTTATGTTAGCATTGTGCATGCTGGCATGAAGATGGTATGAAGAAATATAACTTCAGGCCTAATGTGTTGAGTGACACAATGCAAGGATTGCTCTTTAACCTTGGGTAACTAATTTTGATTAGGTTCTCAGTATTTACTTGTATGACACTGACTTACTAGACTTGTATTTCAGTATTTACAGTTCGTCCCAATTCCTTACACTGAGACAGCCATCCTGAGAGGTGCCCAGGATTTTCCCCAGGGAGATGGATGAAGATTATTTTTCAGTCCTTTCAGAACTGAGCCCATGACACTAGAACTCAATTTTACCCATAGGTTATTAGATGTAGTTAATGGTACTATATTTTGGTTTTGCTGTAATTATTTTGTTACTGATAGTATTTCATACTCATAGAACAAAAAGACCCCAAGCTTTGGGATTTTTTTTAAACTCAGCCTTGCATTTCACTACCCCTAGGAAAACTGTTTGCTGTCGAGTGCACTCTGAATCAGACTAGCAGTTAATTTGTTGAGATGAACCAGATACTGAGCATTACTGGCTTCCATTGGTGTTGGGATATAAAGAATTTGCTTAGGGTTTAAAACTGAAAGAAACTACCTAGATCTTTTCAGTCCGTTCACCAGCTCTTCCAGGAAACCAAATATGTGTTTGCTTCCAGAAATGCATTGAGAGCTATATTTAAGCTACTCGGGTTTCTTGCACCTGCTTCTCAGTGAAAGGCTGTTCCCAGTCTTCCTTGGATGAGATAATCCCTTTTTCATTTACCAGCATTGTCCTTTAATGGAGAAAGTTCTCTCTGCGTGTTCACTATCTATCTGTACTGAATCTATAGGTTCTGTTGTGACTTGCCAAGCTATTGAAGAAGTCAAGATCCTGTTCAAGACGAAGCTCTCAATTGCCTTCTAAACTTTCTGTGTTCCACTTCTCAGCTGAATTTACCTTTCCTAAACAAGGATGAATAGAATTTTACACAATCTTCTGAATGGCAAATCCATGAATTTGGCCAAGTCTAGCACTGATGGACTCCAGCTTTGGTTTCTTAAGGGTTAAAGGGTGAACATGTTCATTGCCCTTACTTCTGATTCCAGTAAACTGAAGCCAGACTTTTAGGTTCTTCCTTCTTTCAGACTGGAACATGCCACCTTCTCCAGCAGGAGCAAAACAGACCAGTGCCAGCATGATTGTAGAAGAAATCTTGATTTCTGTGAAACTTTTGGGAAGACCAGTGTTCATAAGTATTAACTTCTGATCATGGCATTTTCATGGCTCAGATATTGCTGTTTCTTACAGCAGAGATTCACAGCTTAGTACGTAGCCAGCCTTTAAATATGGGCATTCAGGTCAAGCAAAGGTTTTGTGTAGCCAAGAATCTGCTATCAAGTTGGTCATAGCATAGTTTAGGAGAGAAAATGTCAAGACTGACGTAAAATGCATTTAATTATCATTTTAATTTGTTTGGGGAAAGTACTTTTGAAGGGCCTCTCCTAATCATCCTTATTTACTGTATTTTAGTTTGCACATCAAAGCAGACTTGGAGTGCACAAAGTGGATTTACAAAAGTAAACTGGACTGATGAAAGTAAATCCAGAGATGGACTCCAGAGACACACCAGATGCGCTGTAACCACTAATGCATGCTCATCCATGAGAGCAGACTGAAGTTAGTCCAAAATATCCCCTCTGAATCATGCATAATGTGGCTGTCAGGTGCTTGGCACCATCTGTTTTGCTCTGCAAATCTGCTGTAACAGGTGATCCAAGTACCTAATGTAAGCACAGAATCAGTGTGTGTTAGGCCAGGAGAAAGGACAATTTAGTGACATTCCCCTTTACCTTATTCTATGAACTGGGGGGTGAGAAGAGTATTTTCGTTCTGTTTGTGCCAAGTTGTTGCAGTAAAACTAGTAAAAGTTATATTTACTTACCTTCCACCATTACTCCTGCATTTTTGCAAAATGTCTTAAAAATAGATTGCCTTTACTTTCACACGATGTAGGTTCAAAGGTAACTTCTGATTTGCAGGTTCCATGTCAATATTCAGAATACTCAGGTGTGCTAGGTGTTTTCAGCCTATGTAGCAGACAATTTTGCAGATCTTTTCTCTTAAGTATTACTAAGTGACCTACAGTAGTCTTATTAAGTGTGGCATTGGGAATTGAGTCTAGAAATGTACTTAGCAACATACTAATGGCTGTACTAGGTCTAAAATTATATATAATCCAGAAAAAATGCCCTAAGAAGACCCATGTTCAGTCTATAGAAGTGTTTGATAACTGATGCATGGAGGAGACAGAAGAAAAAGACAGAAAAATAACACTACTTTTCAAAAACAGTCCTCCAGACTCAAGTATCTTGTGGTCTGGGATTTCTTGATCAACAGGTGATGTTTATGTTTAATACCTCTTTATTCTTTTCATCCATTATGATGTCAAGTAACATCTTGAACTTGACTGTTTACAATGTCCTGTAGCAGTGAGTTGCACAGCTCAGTGTGCTAATAGGATCATAGTTGCCCAACAGTAATAGTAATGGTAACCTAGCTCTATGTTGAAAATTATGTATAAAATGCTCTGGTAAAATACTGAGATACTGATTGAATTTATATCTTTAGTTTGACTGAAAAGTCTTTTTGTAGTAATTGTTTGCTAAATAAAATAGTTGCACACATATGGCTCAGCCACTGATTGATGGTTTATGGCAGCTACATAATGTGTGTTTCTGGGTGAAAAGGAAGACAGGTGTGATGTGCTTTTCTTTTAAAAGCACAAAATAAAAATCAAATGGAAAGACTGATTGTTCTTTCAGTGGTGCTGATTTATCAAGCCTATTACTGTGGTTTTTGGTTATGCTAATTTAGATTATAGTGTTCAGGTTGCCATTATTAGTTCATAGTTATTGGTCCTTCCAAAGGCAAAACTTTGCAGGGTCTTACACATGTATTGTTCAAGTATTGTTTTACTTAAATTTTAAAAATCAGTTTCTCGCAAATTATGTCTACTTGTTCTCAGATTTATTGGCTTGCTTGATTCTTCGGGAAGCAAATCCTTTCATTTTCCCCTACCAACCCCCATGCTCTCAGAGCCTCATCATTGAATTTTAACTAATTTTAATGCTGAATCATCCCCTGCAGCACAACTCCTCACTTGCCTCATACATGATTTCCAATGTAAATAGTTGAGTAAGGAAAACAGAGAAAATCTTGTTGGTTCACCTACCCTGTTTGTCCTGTGAAAATGTGTCACCAAGGGCAGAGACACAACCCAGAGGAGCAGATTCTACTGCAGTGATGGCTTTGGATTTGTTGTGAGCTGTGCATTGCAGAGCAGGAAAACTGGCGTTTCTGCATGAGGACATGCTGCCCATGTGTCTGGTTGCTGTTCCTAATAATTTTCATTGTGTCAGATTTTCATCTGCTTTGAGTATTGTCTTGGGTTTCCACAGACATCTGCATGAAATGTAGGTCGATGCTTGTCTTTGTAGCATCTGTGCCATATGTTGCAATCTGTTATGTTCTGTGGAGGGAATGCATGTGTCCATGCAGGTCTTGGACTCTGGGATGCTGTATTACCTATCACTGAATTAAAAAGACAGAAGAAAACCTTACTGTTTCAGCAATTCAACAGTTTCAGTAATTCAACAATTAATGAGATTTTCAGGACTTCCTTATTACTAGAGTCATAGCTGTAGATTTACCAAGGGTGTGAGCATTTTAATCAATGGAAAGCCATTCACTATTAAAAAATGTGCTGCACCCTCTTTGTTAAATAGGTCACATGAAACCAATCCAGTCATTTCAGGAAAAAGGAGCTGTTCATCAGACTTAAAAGACTAGTAAGAAATTTCTCACAATGAAAAGTATTGTGCATTGAGAGAAAAGTAGGATCTCTACCCATGGAAACCACAGATTGGACAGGTTACCAGACTTAGTCAAGGGTAGCTACAAGAGGCTGTAGGGAATATCCATACTACCTGCATTTCTTTCTTCAGCCTGTCTAAGTATAGCTGTATAAAAAGTGGATTCATAGGCAACATGAGAATACATTTAAGAATAGTTTCTTAAGCAGTAAAAGTTCTTCATTTAGGCTCCTAATAATACTTGGTGATCACTGTGACTTGTGTTAACGCAGATGAAGCATTAAATTATTCTTTCTTAATAAGACTATCACTTAAGAAATGCCATGATGTGGCAGAAGTGAGGCCCTTAGATGAAGCACCTCAAGGAAATAGAGTCTGAATGAAAAAAAACCCAAGTTAATTCCACTTATACTTTGGGGACATCTGCATTGGAAAAGAGGAAAATACATTTTTAAAATTGAATTGGCAACCCTGTGTTAGCTGACTGGAATTAAAATAGCAACAATGACAAGTCAGTTGGATACGTAATTTGATTGGATACATAGAAAAACATGCGAATTCAGAGCCCGTTTACTTCATCTTTATAAAACGTAAAAGTTTTAGAAGTGAAGTGGCACGTGCAACCATGCATGCAGCATTGGGACAGAGCTAGGTTGTCAGTGAGGAGAGTGAGCTGCTGGCAGACCCTGTGGGCCTCAGGGTGGCTCCCAAGAGTTATCCCAAGATTTTTGTGTTAGACTGGTGGAATCACAGGACCAAATTTTCAGTTACAAGACCGAAATTAAGTGATATGTAGGTTGTCTCTGCTACAGGACAGGGTTGTCTCAGATCGCTAGGTCCCAAGTCACACCAGCAAAGCAGACTGTTGTAGGAAGCAGGAGGAGTGTAGCCATCATGACTTGTGCTGGTACTGACCCAGCTCCTCACAACAGCTGTAAGCCTGTAGGTTTAGATAGGAAATGAAAGCATTAGCCTGGTCTCTGCTGGCTCATGCGATTATGTCCTTAACGTACCCTTCATAAACTGTGACATTCTTTACTTCTATTTGAAACTGCATCTTCACCCTGGGCATGGCTGCCACGTTTTACCCCCAGAGCTTTTGCATTTCAGTGCAAGAGTAAATGGGAGTCATTGAAAAGCATCCTTTATTGTTCTAGCTAGTCATTTCTAGTAAAAATAAATAATGTAAGAGAAATAGTGTAAGGAATCACCTTTAAAGGTATCTGTGGTGATGGTGGAGTACCCTGGTCAGATTTATATGCTCAGACAATTTCTTTTGCATCTGAAGTATTCAATACTGAAGAGCATAGGGGTACATAATCCCCACCTTGGCTGTGCATTGACCAGATTCTCTGTTGCTAGACAGTAACAGGTTATTGCCCAGTGATACTAAAAGGTGTAAACGGGAGAAGATTAGGATCTACATCTCTGGAAGAACACGGAAGCGCTTAGGTTGGGAAGATTTGCTAGATAAGGTCCTAAAATTTTCCCACTCTAAAATAGGCATGGGAGAGTATGAGAGCTGGCTAATAACTTACAAATTTCTAGCGCAAACATTCGTTTGAAGATAGTGACATGATTAGACTCATAAACTCATTAAAGTGTAAGTTTCTTTGTGATCACAGTGCTCCCCAGAACTAAGGAAAGTGATGTTTTATTTTCCTGTTGCCAGCTCTTGGGCATTTCTGTTAGGTGGACCATCCAGGATGACGCTCCCCCCAAGTATCCCCATTACGACCCAGGGACATCTCGTCGACTGCTGTGTGACCAGTGTCCTCCTGGGAGCTATGTGAAGCAGCACTGTACAGCCACCAGTCCGACGCAGTGTGCCCCGTGCCCGGATCAGTACTACGCCGAAGAATGGAACAGCAATGATGAATGCCAGTACTGCAGTGCTGTTTGCAAAGAGCTGCAGTACGTCAGGCAGGAGTGCAGCAGCACACAGAACCGTGTCTGCGAGTGCGTGGAGGGCAGATATCTGGAGCTCGAGTTTTGCTTAAAGCACACAGAGTGTCCGCCAGGATTCGGAGTTGCACAGCCAGGTATGTACCCCTTGTCAATAGGCACAGACTTAATTAGAGCTCTACCGCACGTCGACGACTCGTGGCAGTGACAAGATTAGGAAAGAGGATCGTCCAGATGAAATTACAGGACAGTAAATTGTAAAGCCTATTGAACCTGTTCTGGTCTGCATCATTTGGGCTGTAGCCAAAGGAACGTTTCTCAGTGGAATACCCTGCTCCTGCTGTAATGTATATCTTAATGGCAGTAGCAAATGTAGCAAATTGCACTCTAATGAGAAACATGATGGATTGCCTCTCTTAAAGGAACATTATCTGGAATGTAGTATTTGTGTGTGTGATAAATAATAATGTTTTTCATTTTGAAATCTGCTGTTTCAAGCAACTGTATATCTTGACAAACACCAGGAGCACTACGTTTGACACCAAGTGTATAATTATAACAATATTAATATAGCTCTAGCATCACTGCAATATGTGGTAATAATTAATTACCAGTATCCTAAGTGGAACTCTTAGGGAAACTGGTACAATTACCAAACAAACAAACATTTCTTTGTCAAGCAGTCTGGCATTGTGCTGTATGTCTAGTGGGGATACAGAGTGAAGCAGAGCGTTTCAGTGGAGTGTATTCTTCATTTAAGACAACATAAATTGTTAAACCAATAATATGTTCCTCCCTCAAAACAAAATACATCATTTATCATTTGGCAAATGCCATGGCCCAGTTTAGCTCCAGTATTTAACACAACCTGAAAGAGTTGTAAACTGTCATTGTACCAGAGCTTGATAACTGCCTGGAGAAGAGCATTGAGGAAGGGAATGCAGAAGATCAGCGTGTCTTAGACACAAACCCGCAGGCAACCAGTCTCCAGACTACAGAATGATTTCCCTAGGAATTATGTACATGGAGTGAGAAACACTAGGGCTGGCCTGTACATTTTAGAGCTGTGCTGAATGACAGGTTGGGAGTCCTTTTTGGGATAATGAACATCTCATTGGAGAGCAACTTTGACGTAAGGAGAAATGTCACGGCTGTAGCTGCTCACTAGTCTCTGAGTAATTGGTTAACTAAGCATTACCCCGATGCCCTTGCCACTGTTAACTGGGAGGTACCACATTTCCATATTATAAACCTTCATTAACCTAAACCATTATACCCAGGGGCTGGGGTTAATGAGGTTCCACTGTACCTCGGCAGCAAGTCCAAAGGGGCTGGAGACAAAGTTCTCAGAAAGACTGTTTTGGAGACAACAAAGTCTCCCAATTGTCTGAGCAAACAGCCTGCTGCGTCCCTGTGAGCACAGTGAAACTGTGGCAGACAGATTCGAATCCCTCAGTTCAAAAAGAAACAAACTTTGGAAGAAGATAAAATGTTGTATAATGTAATTTATTGGAAAGTTGGTTTCCAAAAGACCATCACAATGAACCAGCTAAACCCAAGCAGACCTCAAACAAGGAATGAAAACATTGTAAAAATAATTGCATCCCCCTGTGTCAATAGTCAGCTTTTTAGGTGAGGCAATGACTAAGAATTTAATAAGCACAGACCACACTGTGTTACTGCCTTTTGCCATATGATAGCCTTGAACTTTGTAATGATGCAAATTCAGGTGAAATAAAACCTAACTGTAGAAAAATATTCTTCAACTCCCACACAGGGAGATGTGGCCCAGTGCCTTGTTCAAAGCTTAAAGCATTAGAAATCTGTTTGCCCACTGCCGGTCGCTCCTGATTACATTGGGAGATCACTTTCCCCTGTTCGTCTCCTCTTGTGAGTGCAGACTCAGGTTTTGCTCTGTTCCACCTTGGCCAGCCCTGTCCGTGGCAGAGTTTCCAGCAGCACTGGAAAGAGGCAGCGCTGGCACCCCGGCAGCCACAGCCGTTTTCCTGGGAAGAATGGGGGATTCCAGGCGAACTGGAGGGAGCAGGGCAGGGCGGACAGACGGCGGCGGTTTGTGCCCTGAAGGACAGCAGGCAGATAAACAGTGAAGAAGGAGCTGGCAAAGCTAGAAGGTGACTTCATGCTCAACCCTGAGAACGCTGATGGATTACCCCGTTTATTCCTCTCTTGTGCCGCGAAGGGAAGCTCAGAGCAGAGAGACACACCATTTGCAG